GTCGGCGGCGGCGGTCCGCCCGTCGGTATCCTTTGATGAGCGGACCTGTGCCGCGGCCCGGGACAGGTAGCGTCACCTGAACAACGGGCACGCAGCGAAGATTTTACCCAGCGCCGCTGGCCTCTATCGGTGCTGAAGGAATTTCACCATGTACTTGGCTATAAAAATATGACGTAACAGATTAACAATAAATAATTTTGCTCACTTTTGACCAAGACAGTGTGCTGATCTGCTGAAAGTCTTTGAGCTTAAAAGGTCGTATTTTGGGTTCCATTTTCTTTGTAAAACATCATATAACTTTTCCAAATATATTTTGGCATACATTGAAAGACACTGGCGTAGGGTAGGGTAGGTACTCAAGTACACACATACAAAATATGTAAAAGCCACAACATACATACAGTAATACGCTTCAAAACATTCAACTCATGCCATGCAAAACATACAAAGGCATACAATACAAAACACACACAAAGGCATACAATACAAAACACACACAGTCATACAATGCAAAACACACACAGTCACATTACAATACAAAACGCGTAACAAAATCCCGATAAGAGCTCATCCGCCCAGCATGGGTCCCACCTCCCGCTCGGCGTCCGCCTCAAAGCCGGCCCACAGCCTGGTGGCCTGGCGGGCGGCGCCGGCCCAGCCGCCCTCCGCGCGGCAGCACCACAGCAGCACGCTGAGCACCAGCACGCCCAGGTGGCCGGTCACCAGCTGCATCTCTTCCCCCAGCCGCACCAGCAGCGGTCGGTACCAGCAGGGGCGCAGGCGGCGCAGGGCGGCCCGCAGCCGGCCCACGTCCCTCAGCGCCAGCACCGCCAGCACCGTGCACACCTGCAGCGCGTGCAGCACCAGCAGCTCCCCGACCCTCCTGGCCATCCGGGCGGCGTCCAGCGCTCCGGCACTGAGCGTCTCCCTCAGCGGGCCGAGCCAGTCGAGCTGCTCCAGCTCCTGAGCCGGGTGCGCGCTCCGGCGGGCCCTGCGCCGGTGCACCGGCACCGCCGGGATGGAGATCATCTCCAGCTCCATACCCCACTCCTCATCCTGCTCCTGGACCTCGAAGGCGATCTGAGCCCTCAGGAGCTCCCGGTTCAGCTCGGCAGTCTCCTTCTCCAGGTCGAACTCGAACTCCGGAGGGATGGCTTGACGGGGAGGCATGGCGATGGCGGCCGAAGATTTGTCCGAAGAGGTGTAACAACTCGAGGCGCACTTGTCGTGGGTTGGGTCCGTACTGAAGAGTCTGACCGGTACCGCGGCGTTAAATAGGGACCGCTGTTTTTATCCCGAGGGTATGGAATGTTTTGTCCCTCGGAAGGGTCAGAGGTTGGAGGACCGCCTTATCGGGGGCTATTTTCGTCCTCTGTCCGTGTCGACCCCTTCTGCGCCGGATAACGGTCCGGCGTCCACCCCCGGCCCTATCTCGCGCCGTCTGGTGTCCCCCGTGTCCCCTCCTCGGCAAAGCTGCCGGGCCTGCCCATACGACCCCTGACGGCTGACGGTAATTCAGTTGGCCTAAGTTGCCAGAGTAAGGTCGTGACACTATAAGTTCAATTGATAAAAAGTGGTACTGATTAAGAGCATTCGGATAGAATTTAATAGTTCAAGTGGTATTTAGGAAAAACATTTTACGGCAATTTCCCCAAACACTTGTGGTTATTCTTCAGTTTAGCGTCGAGTACGGGCAACAAATAATAACGCTGTACTTTAGAATCCTTGTCTCACAGATTGACTTTTTTTCTTTTTAATTACGCCCGGTTCAATTGTGTTATCCTGTTGCGACCAAAAGTACCTATATAACATGTGACCGTGTTATCGACGTTCATTGATTTTATGTCGGCTTTATGATGGTTGTTTAAAAGGAGCTTGCGAGCTGAAAGAAAATGTTACGACAATCAGATATCTACCACTAAGAGTAAATTCGTTTCACCTGGAACGATCATGGATTATAGACAAGCACTTAGCACCCTAGCACACCATGCTGACGGAAGACAGCCGATGGCTCGCATCTAACATTGGGAGCCGATTGATCGACGGAACATCACTCAACGACAGCCGACACACTCTCTGAGGTACAGCTACTCCGCACTTCCATCCCTAACCACAGTCCGAGGCGGGTACTCTGACCTTCTGGGAGTGAGGTCACTGGGCCGTCCGCCCGCCACCGGGCCATCTGGAGCTGAACGCCCTCGAACAAGTCGAGGGCTGTGTGGAAATGTGGCTAAATATGCGTTCCATAGTCTATTCAAAATCACAAAAATAGAGTGGTAAAGCAGAAAAAAAGCAGGAGCCTTCCAGCTACTTAAGAGATGATGGAAATGAAGTGCTGCCTGAAAAAAAGGCTTCGGTCATCAGTGACACTTATTTCAAATGGTCATGGTACTTGAGTTGGTGCAAGAAACAAATTAACTGATTTCTAAGGAAGACTGCTGCCAAATGCCGAATGTTAACTGTTAGCTTTGTGTGTGTTCAGTGTCAGTTTGTTCATTGAGCTTCCTTCAATGCCGTGTTTTATTCAATCCTTATCACGTTTCTTCTCCGATACGAGTGATCAGTAGTACATCATTGAAGCCAATCTGATTCAAATAAACTACTTGCTGAAACACACATTGCATTGTCATCAAATAGCGTATCTGGACGAGACGCGGTTCACCACAGGGATGTGCCATCGCCAGGAAAGCGCTAACAACACTTTGGGTACTCAGACCAAAGTCCAAAGCACAGCCTTGAGCACAGAGCAGTCCGGGGTTTATCCGTCTGTTTTGGAATAATGAGAACGGTCCGATCAGTTGGTGAGGGAACATGTCGAAACGAAATTATTTCCCATCTCAAAACTTGTTTGAGTCGTGTAAAAAGCTCATTGGCTCACCAAAAGCTGATAAGGACGATGGAAATGAAGTGCCGTCCGAATAAAGGCTTTTCGAAGTCATTCACGAGGCTCCATGACGAGAGGCAGGTATTTAAAGAGAGTGACACAAAACTCATCCTATTTGTGGACAGTGTTACACCGTGTGCACGAGCCAATCCGGCCCAGTTCGAAAGAAAAAGAGGCCGATTGAGATCACAAGGTGGCATTGAGAGTAGCCTTATTATCGTCTATGAAAAACGGTAATAGCGCGCCATAACGCTCTGAAAGTGCCCGTTCGGTACAATACTGCCCACTAGCTGGCTTCGCTCAGTCGTCAGCATATGGCACAGGCCGGGAGAAACAACAGCGAGGACACAAGGCGAAAAACGCTCTGAAACAGTCTTGCAGGGCCAGATGGACGATTCAAGAATCGCTTCAAGCTCAGCTGCTATTTTATGTAAAAGAGGATAGAAGTGAAGCCAATCCGCCTGATTGCGATACAGGGCCAGACGCCAGCCGCCAGACAGGCGGCCGGCCGACCCTGGAATGCACAAACAGCTCCGCACAAGAGTTCCAGCGCTGGCTTATTGCGCTCCGAGAGGCTACCGCCGTTGCGGTACTATAACTATACTACCGGTACGATGGGCGTGGCAGGATTACCTGACAGGTCTTTGAGGTGATCTACACGAGACGCGAAAAAAGACTGTGCAGCGGTCGGAGGATGCGTCGTGGGGAAAAACGTTCATAAGCGTCAGTGTTCCAAGCGGACCAGACATTCTCCGAGGGCTCCTCGAGTCGTTACACCTCTTCAGATAAATATTCGGCCGCCATCGCCATGCCTCCCCGACAAGCCATCTCTCCGGAGTTCGAGTTCGACCTGGAGAAGGAGACTGCCGAGCTGAACCGGGAGCTCCTCAGGGCCCAGATCGCCTTCGAGGTCCAGGAGCAGGATGAGGAGTGGGGTATGGAGCTGGAGATGATCTCCATCCCGGCGGTGCCGGTGCACCGGCGCAGGGCCCGCCGGAGCGCGCACCCGGCTCAGGAGCTGGAGCAGCTCGACTGGCTCGGCCCGCTGCGGGAGACGCTCGCCGCCGGAGCGCTGGGCGCCGCCCGCATGGCCAGGAGGGTCGGTCAGCTGCATGTTGCTGCACGCGCTGCCACTTGAATGGAATGTCCTTTAATTTTTTAACTTATTGGCAAAACTACTAAGCATTGTTCAGGGAATGTGCTCACAGTGCAGAAGAACGAATACGAGCAGTCAACACGCATAGACGCGCCAATGAATAACTATTAATTCCGCACGCCAAACGAGATATCGGAAAGCGAAGAACAAAATGCGTGGAAGTGGACACTGGACAGGCGATAGCCAGGCCACCGGTTATCCCAGCTTACACACCAGTTATCCCAGCTTACACACCGGTTACACACCGGTTAAACGAGGTGAATGAACCAGGAGAGCGGCATGAGCGATGGTCTATTTTTATCGATCTGGTGTCGGAGGAACCCTAGATGTGAAAATGAACTGATCGACTAAATACCTGTCTAACCAGTGAAGCAGGACACCCAAAGCTTGGAGTGAACTCAGAAGTGAACTAAAAAATATGTCCTCAGACAGCTTCACTCTTGAAATGCCTATCGCCTAACATGCCTGGCTGGGCATATTAGCCAACAGCTGCAGTGACTCTTTAAACGTAATGGAATAATCCTATGCCACTTAGAACCAGCAACCAATAAACGAGTGGAGAGGAGCGAAAACCAGCCGAATACAATGTAAGAGCAAAATGGAACCAACCAAACGCGAAACCGCAAGGAGCGTCACCGGGCGCTACCGCCCAGAGTGCGGTCCCGGCCCCGACTGCTGCCTTCGCTACCGTCCGGCCCGGCCCCGGGCGGCGGCGGCCACCGCCCCAGGCACTGACCCCGTGACCTTGACCGGTCAGCGCGGCCCCGCCCCGCTGGCGCACCAGCGCAGTGGGGCCGCGGCCCGGCGGGGTCGGCCGCGCCGGTAAAAGACGAAATATTATAGTTACAGTTATGAAACCGTCTCTTTTTTCGAGCCCTACGCCCAAAATATCATTCGAGATTCAAAAGATCTCGAAACACACACGACTTCCTTTCGTAGACAGCATATCAGGGTTACGTGCGAGGCACTGATTTTATTAGAGCTGGTTAGGCATAATATGGTTTCACCAACACTGCTGTTTCGTAATGGAAAGAGTTTAATGCAGACGATAAAAATATCAACACTTCTTTAATAAAAATAGATACAAAATACGTTTGCTGAAGATCACAATATTCATTATGCGACCTTTTATCTGTTTGCCGATATTCCAATTTATAATTAGTTTATCAGTAAAAGGTAGAATATAGATCGATGGACTTGTTTATTTATTGGGTTTTAGGGTGCACCAACAACAATGGTCATTTTGCGCCCTGGATAGTTGGGCTGTTCATTTTATACCACAGTAGCCATTACTCCTTAGTTTATCGTAACAAACGTAGCATAGTGAACCCATCATATGTTGGCAGGAGCTCCGACGACTCACTCCACCATCAGGTACAATATAACACTGCTGACTGCACTGCATAATGGAGACGACACTTGCTTTCCATTTCATATAAAAACACTTTAAAAAAATCAAACGCCTCAAACATGCTTCACGAAAAACACTGCGCCGTCATAACAACATACCGAAACCACCATCCAAAGATCGATTCTAGAGAAAACTTAATGACCATGCATTTAGTGTGTGTATCACCCGTCGTCTGCATATAACCGTCATTTAGCATCAATAAATCCTCTACTGGGATCACAGCCTGCAAGCAATAAGGACTTCCCCTCGTGGTACTGTAAGGACTTCCCCGAGTTTGGTGCTGCCAACTGGTGAAATCCCAGTCCTCCCTCCCCCTCCCCTCGCGGCAAACTCTGCCAAAGTCCAGCGCCCCTGCCGTCTCCCCCGTTCGACAAACCCTCCTCCCATGAACCCACAGCCCCATCCATCTGGCGAAACAGCCTCCTCCCCTCCCCTCGAGACACTCCCCTCCACCCCCTTCTCTCCCATACCACAGGGCGGCATACCATAGCAGGGGCAGCCCTCCCGAGCCTTCCGCCCCCTCCTCCCCTCATACGGCACACCTCACACGAATCCATCTTCCTTCCTCTCCTTTCCTCGTGCGACGATCCCTTCCAACCAGTCCACGTTACTCCCCCTTCCCACCCACAAGGAGCACCCACCACTATCCCACCTCCCTCACTCCCCTCCCCGCGGGTCCCTGTCCCTCCCCGAGTACCCTCAGCCCACTCCCCTCCCAGTCCCCTTCCTCCCACCGAGCCCACCGTGGCGCGCTCCGCGCTCCGGTCAGCTGGGCGCGTGGCGCACGTGGAAGTTGACCACGTACTCGGCGTTGGTGCGCTGCACACTGATGGCGAACGGGTCGGTCGGGTGGAATATGAACGCCACCAGCCGCTGGGGGGAGGCGGCGCCGGCCGGCGGCTGCGGCCGACCGCTCACCCCCGCACGGATCCGGAACCGCAGCAGTCCAGAGTCGCGCGCGTAAAACCTGGGAACGGCGCGGGCAGGAGGGGAGGTCAGAGGGTGGTCTGAGTCGCATATGTAGCACAGATTCTCACAAAGCGGCATGGAAGATAAACAAAGATCGCGAATCGAAATATTCGAAAAAATATGAAAACATTTGCAAACAACAAGAGACCATATGAATGCGCATCAGGGGAAGAAGTTTTACCGACAATTATGCTCAATAAGTTTTAACAAAACATACCAACTCAGATCCATGTCATCCTGAAAAGTTGACTGACTAATATCAGCATAGTAACGCAACTGGCTTCCACCTTCCCCCATCTCCCCACGCCACGCTCCACCGCGGTGCCTTCCGCCCGGCCTACCTGATGGGCTGTTCTCCGCACGGTTTGGGCCGCTCCATGGCCGACACCCACTTCTCGTCGTAGCTGAACAGCTGCATGTCCAGGTACGGACTGGACGAGTACGACTGGCCAGAGATGGGCAGCTGGACCAGCAGTCGCCGCGTGGCCTCCAGCTGACTGCCGTGGCGGGCCGACTCGATCGTGTGACGGAACCGAGCCTGCACGTGCCTGAAAACCGGAGGGGGTGAGAGGGTTATATGGCGCGCCAGTTCGATGGTGAGCCTGCACGTGCCTGGAAAGGGGAGGGGAGTAAGTTAGGGAAGGGACTAGTATAATGAGCTGTTTTCCTTCAAGTTATTTTTTTTGTGTGTGTAACTCCACAACATTAAAACTGCAGTGCACATGTACTTGAAAATACCGCACTTTATAGAGCTGCAATGCTTTTGAAGGAAACCATTCAACAAGTGATTAACCTGCAACATGGCAATCATTTGCATTTACGAAAATTGTCAAACAAAGTAAAACGGAGCTCCCAGCTACCGCTCCCAGACGCCGGTGCCCGGTTCCACCCTCGTCTCCCACCTGGCGTAGATGTTGTTGGACGGTGAGCACGTGTAGCGGCTGTCCACCGAGAGGCGCGCGTTGCGGAAGTTGTCGCAAAAGTTCTCGTACAGGTAGAGCAGCTGCTGAGAGGTGTTCTCGTAGACCGCCAACACGCGACTCGTGTCCATGTTGTACACCACGAACACGGACGGCTGCTGGTTGTGCTCCACGCGAAACGTCACCACCTGAAAACACGGATATGTACAATAATAAACGTTCAGAGTGGCTTACGGTATTTGACTTTTTACGTTTGATGTATGTATGCATGTATGTATGTATGCATGTATGTATGTATGCATGTATGTATGTATGTAATTATGTATGCATGCATATATGTATGTATGTATGTATGCATGCATGTATTGACATCAAAAGCCTGGACATAGCGTGGAGATTACGGCTTATATGGCAGTTACTTTTTGCACAACTGGGTCAACTAGCTACAGTGTTAGGCAAGCTGTATGTACATCATTTTTTTTTCTATAATGCATTCTCTCTAGGGATAACTATGTTAACTCGAACCAGCATGTACACCGTCCATCCGACCAACCTCCTCACTGGCGTATCGGATCAGCAGGTGGTGCGAGTCGAGCAGCTGCATCTTCCACATCCTCAGCGAGCGGAACCGGTTGAAGTAGAGGTAGAAGCGTCTCAGCTCGTATGGTGAACCCTCCTGCTCGCTGATCCGCACGGCCCGGTGGTACAAAAACACCAGCAGACGGTGCTTCAGGCCGCAGATGAACTTCTCGCTGCAGATCAAACACATCGAGTCACGAGACGCGTGGGTGGTAAATGCAGCAAATAGACAGAAATAAGGGCTGAAAATGTCTGAAAAGCGTATGATTTTGTCAGTTGACGCTGCCTGCATCAGTGAAATTACTGATAGTAGGTGTCATCTTCATCAAAAGTTCGAAAAATTAAAAAAAAACAGGTGACTCTGCCACCATTTCCGATCCCTCCCAACTGAACCCGGCAGTAAGTTCAATGCTGTAAGTTTCCCACCATTGTGATTTCAAGCTCACCCAGAAGCCCTCACCTGCCGGGCGGCCGGATGTCGGCCGTCGGCGCCGTCGACTGGTAGAAGAGCTCGTCGTCGTCGAAGCAGAAGCGTCCGACGGTGCGGATGGGTATGATGGAGCCGCCCTCGGTCACGTTGTAGATGTGGATCGTCTGGTGCTGCACGGAGAGCACCGCCAGCGTGTCGCCGTACAGGTACAGACCCTGGTTGTGCGACGTGAAAATCTTGTCGCGCTTGAAGTGGATCGTGTCTCGCAGCTCGCCGCGGCCGATGTCCACCACTAGGAGGGAGTAGTTCTCGAGGGGTGTCCGCGCGCCGGGCGCTACCCACTCGTTGGTGCGAGACGACGACATGGCCGTCTCCTGCTCGTGCGCGTCCGTCACCATCGCCGAGCCGACGATCACGTGCACACCGTCATCGGTGAACAGCGAGCACTCGCGGTTCAGATTCTCTCCCTGCGGCGCCACGCGCACACTGCGCAGCAGCGTGAAGAAGCTGGCAAAGAGCAGGCGACGCGCCGTCTCCGCCTGCGGGTCCGAGTTGGCCAGCAGGTCCCCGGAGCGGCCGGCCAGCAGCGCGGCCGCCGCCGACGCGCCGTTGTACCGGTACACCTCCACGCTCTGCTGGTCACCCGAGATGGCGATGATGTGCCGGCCGTCCGGCGTGAACTTGCGCAGCGTGCAGGCCGGCTTCTCCACAGCCTGCACTGTGAAGTTGGGGTAAACGTTGAGGTAGAAGGTGCGGTGGCAGCGGTAGGGGCGCCGCGGACGCTGCCCACCGATCTCGCGCAGAAACAGCTTGGTCGGCAGGTTCTGTGGCTGGAGCCGGCGTGGGCGCAGAAAGTCAGCATCTGAGGCCATGCTTGCTGGTAGAATGACTCTTGTTCAGGGAATACTGGATCTAGCAGGGAAGACAATGAGTTAGTGCTGATGTGTCATCAGCTTGCTACATGCTCACAGCTCAATCAAAACCTTCAAAATCTTGAATATGAAGTGCTGAAGAAAATCCTGAAAATTTGATTGGGTATTATCACAAATTTAACACAAAAAAATGCCCTCAATGACACCAGGCAGTACACAGAACATGTCCATTGAGCATACGTCACACAAAGGTTTTCCAACCAAAGGAGAGGTGCTATACCCAGAGGTGCTACTTTCTAACAAAACCTTAACAATCCTAGCCTAACCTAACATAACCTGACATACAACCTACAAACCTATCCTACAACCTACAAACCTACACTGCCTTTCCTCGATTGGAAAACCTTCGTGTGATGTCTGCTCTGCTAATGTAGTAGGTTGGCTGTAGGTTGGTTGGTTTAAGTTGATAGGTTATAGGTATGCAGGCAATAGGTCATTAGGTTAGTAGCCGGTTAGTAGGTAAGGTTAGGTCAGGTCAATTGTTTTTTATCTTCACTATCACTCGGACTTCTACACTTTTACTGGCATTCAATGATTGGGTACATAGGTAGGTACTACTTATCTACTCACCTGGAAAGTCAGAAGGTATCTACTCACATTAAAACATTGACATGATTCGGGTCAACAAATTTACAATTTTCAATATGTCGCAACTGTTTTCATACAGTCTTGCAACTGTTGCACCAAGTTGCACCCTGTGTAATGTGTTGGTCTTGCACAATCCAAATCAAAATAAGCTTTCCGGTGACAGAATCGAAGACAGAATATAGTAATAAGACCAGAATTCAATGCTATCTGATAGCATTATGACCCTTAAAATCCATGACATAATGAAAATGAAACAGGTGCGCCATTTTACCAGTATAGCTAGAAAGCAATGCGTCACTAAATAAGAAATGCGGCCAAGGCCCAATATACCGGCAGAATGCGGCAGTGTTTGCTAAGAAGCAAGGCTATGTAAGCAAGTTAAGTGCTACAGTATAGCCTTGGCTACAGTCTAAGTTAGATGACTTGCTCGGCGAACATCTCCATTTTCTAATGTAGATACGCGAATATGCTACTACACATCTTTACTGCGCCATTAATGGTCTATGGTATCGGCCCGAATCTGCTGTTAGTGGACAGACATTTGACGAATCCGCTGCCAGGGCAGCGTATTCGCATAGGCGCGGGAACTACTTTCAGACTGGGGGGGCACACCATAATGGAGATGAACCTAGGGTACCCCCAAATCTAGTTTTCTCACCGGTTTTAGGCCATTTATTTTTCATCCCTTGGGCCCTTGGCTTTTTCAACAAAAAAGAAAAACATTTGCAAAAAAGTGCAGTATTTCGTCTCAAAGTTGTGGGGGCACCGCCCCCACGGCCCTAGAGTTGGGGGGGGGCAAGCTGCCCCCACCGCCCCCCCGGCTCCCGCGCCTATGCGTATTCGTCGGGGCCGGCGAATTTCTGAGTCTGCTGTTGTTTGACACGGCATTCTTTGCATCCGCTGCCACCAGGGACCGCGGATTCCGGGGGGCAGGGTGTGCAACTGCACACCCTGGAAATCCTGAGGGTGTGCAAACACCTATTTTTGCACACCCTTATTTCGTTACGGGGGCCCATGCAGGCTGCTGAGGGCGATCACAGACTCTTAACCATCCCGGGCCGATGCTCGTGGGCCCCAGTTTGTCTGAGAACCCCGGGCGCCTAAATGCCCACACAGCTATCTCCTCAGGACCCCATGCCAGTTTCTGAGGACCATCACCAGCTCTTGTGGGCCCCGGGCCGATGGCGGAGGGTCCTGGCCGATGGGAGAAGGCCCTAGGAGCCCCAGAACGTGCTTGAGGGCCTCAAGCCGATGCCTTAGGGCCTACTCCGTTACCTAAAGCCCCATAGTTAGAGCTATCTCAGGGCTCCAAACCAGTTCCTGAGGGCCCTAACCGGCTCTAAGGGCCCATGCCGATGCCTGAAGGCCCCTCGCCGGTACCAGAGGGCCCACACAATTATCTTAGGGCCCCATGCCAGCTTCTTAGGGCCAGACCGATGTCCGATAGCCCAGGAAGACGTCCTAGGACCCCAAGCCGATGCCTGGAGCCCCACGCCAGTTTCTGAGTGCCCTCACCGGCTCACGAGGTCCCCAGGCCGATGCCCAAGGGCCCACAGCCCCACACGGTCATTTCCTGGTTCCACGCCAGTTTCTAAGGGCCCTAACCGGCTCTTGTGGGCCTCGCACCGATGCCCGAGGGCAGGCGGATGCCCGAGTAGATAGGCATGCGCGCCATTTCGATATTCTGTATTCGGAATTCAGTGAATGTTGGACATATCTAGTCCTGCGGACGAGACAGAAACAATGTTACAGAGGGAAGGCACTGCATACATGTCTATCTCCCCCCAGTCTTTGCCGGCCGGGAACAAAGACTTACATAGATTGGCATAGATTGAAGGGTGCCGTAACGAAACGACGCCGAAAGGCCAAACGACGGGTCGCATTCACGGGAGCGCGAACAAACAAATAGCCCAGGGGGCAACAAAACACAGCTTCTAGGCAACCAGAACGAGTGGACCGGCTGGAAAATGAGCCGGGACAACGATCAAACACTAAACGCGGAACATATCCGAACATCGCAAACAACTGCCGAGTTTGACAATGATAGGGAGTCAGTGGCACAGTCAGCGCGTGAAATTGGGGTCGCGATAGCGGATCGGCATTTGGCGCGGGCGATCACTGCGACGGGGACGGTCGGGTTCAGTATCTCTCAGCGGCTGCGAGCCTGGCGCGGCAGGGGGCGGCATGGCCGGCGGCGACGGCGTGGCATGACCGGGCGACAACGCATGCGGGGACACGCGATGTGGTGGTGAAGTCGACATGGACGGTGACGGCGTCACACACTGTGGGGACACAAGGGGCGGCGACGCATCTCGCTCGCGCGGGGATAACACCACAGGCGGCGATGGCGCGGGTGGACGCGGTGTCGGGGGCCTGCCACGGGGCGCCCGCGGCGGCGTCGCCGGCATCTGGCCGACCACTGGAGTCGGAGAGCCGGGGGGTTGCGCCGCAGGTGGAGAAGTGGGTGGCGTCAGTCCAGAGTTCGCGTGCGACTGTGACACGCGTGTTGGATGTCGGCGGAAGTCGTCGAGCAGTTCGTCCATTCGGGTGTGCTGACGACGAGCCGGAACAACCGGAGTGTATTTGCGCAGGAACTGCCTGTTGCGCAATGTCATTCGGCCGCTGCCGTCGACCCGGACCATGTACTGGTTATGTTGTCGCACCTCCACGACGCGGCCAGTTTTGTCCCACTTCCTGGGATATCTTCCGATTTGGTTTTGGAGGCGGACGGCATCACCGACGGTCAGTGGAGGTAGTCGCCTCGTATGTGCGGACCAGCGTTCGTGGTCCCGCATGTGGCGGTTCCGGAGTGCCTCCTCACGAGCACTCAGGGTTTCGCGCCACGTGGGATGAGGACGGTACTGACCGGGGGGTATCGGGATGAAGTCTCGCACCGGACGACCGAACACGCATTGGGCCGGCGACAGCCCTGTCGTGGGGTCGGGAGTGTTGCGGTAGTTCAGCATGGCGCGCTGGAAGCGTCGCACGTTCAGTTCCCCGTTGTCACCTGTGTTGCCTTCGATCATGCGTTTGACGGTTTTGACGCCAACCTCAGCGCGACAGTTCGCGTGTGGGAATGCCACAGAGGAGCGGCGGTGACGAACACCGTAGTCGGCCAGAAACGCCTGTGTCTCGTGGGCAGTGAACTCCGGCCCGCCATCGCTCGTCAGCTCCTCAGCGATGCCAAATGTGCTGAAGACGCGGTAGAGACAGTCTCGGAGGCCTGCGCTGCCATCTTGTGCTCTCTCAACGATTGGCCAGTTAGAATAACGATCAACGATGACGAGGTACGTACGGCCGCAGTGTGTAAAGTAGTCCGCGCATAGTTGCTGGAACGGGTACTCTGGGTAACTGATGTCCTCAGGTGGGGCCCATGGCTGCGATGGGGCGTTCCGGTTGCACGTGTGGCATCGTTCACGGGCGCGCCGAATAGCTGACGTGATGCCGGGCCAGTACACGCTTACGGCCGCGCGCGCGAGCATCATGCCGACCCCTTGGTGCGCACCGTGGAGACTCTGGAGCACCTCCTCGCGGAGGCTGGGTGGGATGACGATTCGCTGATCATACAGGATGATGCCGTCGCTGGTGTATAGGCCATCACGGAGCGAATGATACTCTCGGAGCTCCTCAGGCATCTCGTGGCGGTGGGCTGGTAGCCCTCCCTCGATCAGTTCGAGAAGTCGCATCATCGACGGATCGCCTGCCGTTGCGTCCCTCACGCGGTCCCAGGTGACAGACCGGATCGTGGTGATGGCGGCTGCCGCTACCTCGCCAGCATCGTCGACGGTGACGTCGTCGGAGAGGCTTATGCCGATGGGAGCGCCGGTTGGGTACCGGGACGCGATGTCGGGAACGCGGTTCTTGACTCCGGGGAGATAGCTGATGTCGAATCTGAACCGGAGGGTCTTTTCCTTGAGATTACGGAGACGGGCGTTGGGCAGGTCGACCAGTGATCGGTCCCCGAAAATCTTCACGAGGGGTTTGTGGTCAACAACGACCGTGAGGTCGCTGCAGCCGAGCACGAAGAAGCGCGTTTTCTCGAGGGCGTCGGCCACTGCCAGCGCCTCGCCCTCGACCGGGGCGTACCGAGATTCAGCGCCGGATGTAAAGCGGCTTCCCACCAGCGTGGTCTTCCAGCCCTCAGCGCAGCAGAGTGGTGACCGACCGGCGCATGTGCAGTATTTCTGGAGTAACCAGAAACCGATACCAGTACGGGACCAGTCGGTGGCCAGGACGGTTGGGCGATCTGTCTCGAAGATCTGGACACCCTTCGTGACCTCCTCGACGATGGTCCGTTTCGACATGTCGAACAGTGCCTGGAGTTCATCCGTCCACGTGAACTTGCCGGGCTTCAGGAGTTCCCGGAACGGCAGCATGGCATCCGCCATGGCGAATGCGTAGGCGACGTGATTGACGACCCCGAACCACGCGCGGACGTCTGTCAGGTTCTCGGGAGTGGGGAACTCGGTGATGCTCTGAAGGAAGGCATGAGACGGGCGGACTGTGTCAGGCGTGATTTCAAACCCAGCGAATTCCGCTGTCTTCTGGGCGAAGACAAACTTCTCGCTGTTCAGCGTGATGCCGGAACGGCCACACATGTCCAGCCATTCCACAGTGCGCCAGAACACCTCCTCGATGCTGTCTCCCCAGAGAAGGGTGTCGTCGATGCATTTCGTGTAGCAGTCGTGTGACAGGTTTGCCGCCATCACGATCTCGTCATAGCGGCGCGTGTACCCGTCACCGCTGGAGATGTAGCCCTGGGGTGCCGCGCAGTAACGGTATCGGCCCCAAGGGGTCAGGAAAGTGGTGAGGTGTCGATCTTCCTCGTGTAGGGGCACCGAATGGTAGCCATTCCAGGCGTCCAGTATCGTCTTGTAGGTCGACCTCGGCACAGACCGGGCTTGGTGGAAGGGACTTGGGGTATGATGCGTCTCTCTTGCGGCGCAGCGGTTCAGGGGCTGAAGGTCGACGCAACGGCGAGGGCTTCCCGACTTCTTGGAGACGACGACCATCCGGTGGCACCAGGTCACCGGCTCACCAATCGGTACGGGCTCGATGACCCCCAGCTGCACGTCGCGATCCAGGGCGGCCTTGACCTCCGTCTGCCAGTGCAGTGGTACTGGGATAGCCTTGTGGTGGGCCACT